TCTTCTGAAAGTCCTGAGTTCCTTGTGGCCACTGGCCAATGACTCTCTTCTCTGGGAAGAATCTTGGGGCCGAGCTACAGTATGAGGTTTTGTTTAGGCGACTAGAATGACTGTGGAGGAGAGTGGGAGCTGGCTCCTGCCCTGGGAGCGCTTCATGTCTCCTGCCTCAGAGGCCCTCCCAGAGGTGGCTTGTCCTCGTCCCAACTTGTGCGCTGAAGACCTGGCTCAGGGCTCTGCTCTGTCATGTCTGTTCCTGGCTGGCCTTTCCCTACCAGGATATCTCCCAGTGGCAGTAGAGGACTTGGCAGAGGGTAGGGGTGGTGGCACTGTCACCACTGGCCCTGGCCTGGCTCTTACTGTGCCCAGCCCTCTATCCTTTTCAGATCTGCCAAGTCCCAGAACAGGCACATCCAAGAACAGGCCACCAAGTCCATTTTCTCAGGGCAAGTGCCAGAGTCACCTGCAGCCACAGTCAGCTCAGCCTAGAACGAGGGTGTAACTTGGGAGCCACTGGGGACGCTACTATCTCCTAAGGCCAGCGTCCCTCTTCTTTTTAGCCATTGTAGTGGTGGTGGTGGTAGGTCCTACAAGATTTTTGTTTATTTGTTTCTAGTCTGTGGTTACTTTGGAACACACTGTTCCTTGTAGTGATCCCAGAAGCGTTCCTGGTGCAAAGTCTTAATACGGTTGATAAAGCTATCATCGTTCTCCTTCGAAAGAATAAATTGGACTGTCAAGCTAATAGTTAAGAGATAGCTAGTTCCCTCTCCATCTGACTTGGTTATTCAGTAACCAGTATAGGGTATGGGGAGGTGGGACTCTAAGAAGTGCCACCTTTTGCTAGCAAAGACTTAGAGGGTCATGGGGCAGCTGGCCCCACCTGAAACAGCCCAGGGGCCTTGCCCTACATGCCCTTTGGTCCCTCGCCTGCTTGTCCAGCCTGGCCTGGCCCCTGGGGCTAGCTAGGCAAGGCCTAGCTGTGCATATTGCGTCTCTCGCTCCCCTTCTAAGACCTCTTGATGCGTTAGGGAAGGGCTAGTGAGACGAGAAGTGAAACCTGTGGGTTCTAACATGGAAGAAGCGTGTCAGCTGCCCTTCCCGTGAGTTAATGTGAGCTTGGAAGCCTTGGCCTTGGCCTAACCTAGACCCTAACTTTACCAATGTCCCCAGTCCCCTCAGAACTGTGGTATCTTGGCCTTTTTCTCAGAACATGTGAGGCAGTGGAATGGAAAGAGCATGAGACCAGGAGGCAGCCTGGCCCAAGCATGCCATGCTCAGCTCATGGTAGGACTTTGAGCTCATCCTCTATTCCTCTGGAGTCCAGGCAAGAAGTTCCAGAGGAGGCCAAACACAAACTTCACAAACACAGTTGAGGACATCTGCCCCTAGGAGTCATGACTCTCCTGCTATCTTGGGTGTTGGGGTCAGAGCTGGGAGGGAGGTCAGGCCAGCCCCTGGAGGAGGACAACACTGGAATCTCCAAATCTGACAGGTCAGGATGCCAGCAGGGACCCCTGCTTCCTGTCTGTTCCTGAGAACAGGTGGAAAGGCTCTAGCGGACGAGGGTCTCTGCTCTGTCCCATTGTAGGGAAGCAAGGGAAAGCTCTAGGAGCTTCAGGGGATCTTTGTGTTCATTTAAACCCAGATGACAGTGGGGAGGTGGGAAGGTTGGGGGACATAGCCATACAGCCATTCAAATCTCTTCTAACTTCCAGGTAAGTCCAGGGTCTGGAATCCCCACTCCCTGGAGAAGTTTGGTGCCAGTCCCTGACCCCACTTGCTTTCCTAACAGAGCAACATGTCTGTCTAGACCTCTCCTGTTCTTCTTCCTCTGCTGAACGTATGAACCATACTCGCTGTCATTTCTAAGTGCCCACTGGGTGTCAGGAACATTTTAAGACCTTTTATACACATCATCTCACTAACTATGATAAGGGTAATAAACTCTCTGCTTTTCAGATGATCAAATAGATTTAGGGACTGAAACCAGTTTTTCTTGATTCCTAAGTCCTTGTTCTTTTCTCTTATAGACATCAACTCCTTGAAATATATTGCCTAGGGTCCCCCGCGATGCTGCCATGTGCCCAGGAGTGCCTGGCAGGATAGAAAAGGCACAGGGCGCTGGCCTGACCCTCAGTGAGAAGGCCTGTCTGGGGCTTCCTGCCAAAACCTACAGGGTCTTCACTTGGCTTAGCCTGACTGGTGTCCAGAGCACCCTGACCCAAGAAATCCCAGCCCCCTTCAGTGGCCTCCCATCACCTCCAGAGACAGCCTAAATGTCACAGCTTGGTACCCAAGGTCCTGTGTGGCCTGGTCCCGGCCCCTTCTCAGCCACCTCTCCTTATCCACTTGGCTGGGTCCCACCTTCCCATATCCTGACTGCCACAGAGTTCCCCAAACAGGTAGTGTTATTTCACGCCTCTGTGCTTTCGCACATGCTGCTTCCTCTGCCTGGCACAAGCTCCCTGTCCCAGCCCTGGTTGGCCTGGGCACCTCCTGTTTGTTTTTGAAGATGCAGCTGAAGCCTTACCTCCAAGAATCCTTTCCTGAAGCTGCTGCCATCCTGCTGGGCTCGGTGTCCCTCCTTCGTGCTTCCACGTCATGTGGGACTGCTCTCTGTTATAGCATCGTCACGCCAGTTCTTACGCCTCTCCCCGTACTGATCTGGTCCTCCAGGGTGGGGAGATCCCTCTTACAGTTTCTCTTGCTGTTGCTGGATCTCTAGTATGGGGCCAGCCACAGGATAGGCACAGGGTGGATGGGAGAGGAGTCTTATCTCTGCCAAAAAGAATCAGGATGTTAGAAATGAGCGTGAGTGCGTCTGTCCTTCTGGCACAGCTCCTCCTACCAAGGTTGGGAGGAACAGGACTCCAGGTCAAAGGAACATGGAACAGATAAGGAAGAACACTTGGGACCACAGGCAGGAGAAAGTCAGGGGAGCATGGACTGAGGTTGCTCCTGGGTGGGCAGGTCCTGGGCCTGGGCGGAAGCAGTGTGGTGGTGGGAGTGGAGCATGGGGGGAGGGTTGCTGGCAGCCAGCCTGTCCTTTTGGACCCCCTGAGAGGACTGAGCATGTCTTTTAAGGGGCAGTCTGGCTTCCCAGTCAGCACCAGGGCTCTGTAGCTGGCAGGGACCTCACTGCTGTTCCTGTCATGGGAGAACAGTCATAGCCAGGGACCCTGGGGATCTTTCAGACCCAGAGAGGATCTTATTTGTCACCATGGTCAGTAGTCAAACATCCTGGCAGGGGCTCTGGCACTGCCATGAGTTCAGTGAAGGTAGGCTCAGCTGACCTAGGGGCCTTAAAGGGGGTACCACCAGGGATCTAGGAACTAGGGTGAGAGTAAGATTGTGTTCACTTATCTTGTGGGATAGATGGGGCTGATGCTAGCATCCGTGTGCAACTGCTGAGGAAACCAGAGTCAAAAAGGCTTAGGAACTTGTGTGGGATCACATGGGAAGTTAGTGAAAGACATCCATCAAAGCTTCGCTTTTCCCTGGACCAGGCAGCGTCCCAGGCAGGGCTCCAGGTGGGTGCTATCCACAGGGCTTCCATTCATTACTTTTTGCAGAAGACCAGGTGGACACCTTCTCCAACTTGTCTCTGAGGATCTGTCTTAGATTCTAGAAGTCACTGAACTAGGAGTCCTGAGCCATATGGCAATGGGTGGAACCCGGAAAACATTGCTGCCACCATGCTTACTGATTGTCAGTCACTGTGACAAGCACTTGGAGTTGTCCCAGCTTCCCTGTACAACTTGAGTCCCAAGAGAACCTCTGTGATCCATTCATGCATATTCAGGGACCAGAAGCCAGAGAGGCTGGATTGTAGAGCCACCTGCAATCCAGATAACAAAAGCTGGAACCTCATGCTTGCTGGGATGGAAAGTGCTGCAAAGTTTTAAGCAAAGTAATGGAAAAGACATGTGTAACTTCATTCTCTTTTTTTTTTGAGTTGGAGTCTCACTCTGTCACTCAGGCTGGAGTGCAGTGACACGCTCACAGCCACCGCAGCCTTGACCTGCTGGGCTCAGGTGATCCTTCTGCTTCAGCCTTCTAAGTAGCTGGAACCACAGGCACACGCCACCATGCCCGGCTAATTTTTTTTTATTTATTGTAGAGACAAGGTCTCGCCAAGTTGCCCAGGCTGGTCTCAAACCCATGGTCTCAGGCAGTCCTCTCACCTCAGCTTCCCAAAGTGCTGGGATTATAGGCGTGTGCCACCACGTCTGGCCTAACTTCATTCTCTTAAGAAGGTAAATTGTGGGGCCCAGGTAGGAAGCTCAATCCAGGGGTGAAGGGAGAAGGGGTCTGGTAGCCCAACCCCAATTCAGACTTTGCTGAAATATACCTTTATTTCACAAGTGGTGGCCTGTATTGCTTCATGGGGAGTGATTTGAGGGTGTGGAAGCAGATTCCTCAGGAGGGCAGAGGGAGCCCCCGGTGTGCTGTCCTCAGGTTCATGGTAAAGGGGAGGGAAGGGCTTTAGAAGCCCTCCCGCTCTTCTGCACCACCCTTTTCCACGAGATCTTTAATGAACCCAGGCTCTTGGTCTCTCCCAACGCCTGGCCCTTTCTCCTGGGCTGGGAGTACACTCTGGGGTCTGTTTTCCACACTTCCTGGCTTCTGGCTGATGACCCAGCTCAGCTGCTGCCCTGCTGAGGAAGCAGACAGTGACTCAGGAGGGCTCTGAGGGCCCTGATCCAGGCCTCAGGAAAGGGGAAGGGGCTGGGAGCAGTGGAAACTCTGAGTGGTGCCTGCCTGGGCTGTTCTTTCCAGCCCAGACCAGAGCATGGGATGAGACATGGGGGCAAGAGAGGGCACATGGTGTGAGCCACCAATGGAAAGAATGGGCTTTCTGTCCAGTGGGCTAAACAGATTGGGACTAGGAAGAAGACTTGGGTCTGTTACCAGCTGCCCCACTGCTAACTCCTTTTCCAACTGTGATCTGGGCTGAAGCAACCTCTATGTCTGCCATGTTCTAAGCTTAAGAGGAATGTTGCTCTTCCTTTCTCCACCATTGTGGTGTGTGCAGTGGACTCTGTTGCTTTCCATGTCTTCTCACAAGACTTTCAGGATCAAGCGATTCCTGGCCAAGAAACAGAAACAAAATCATCCCATTCCCCAGTGGATTCGGATGAAAACTGGTAGTAAAATCCAGTACAACTCCAAGAGGAGCCACTGGAGAAGAACCAAGCTGAATCTATGAGGAATTGCACATGAGATGGCACACATGTTTATACTGAATCATGGTCACCATCATCTTACCATTATCAAGTTGAAAATATCTTCATAATCGGGAAATCGGACATGTTTAATTGGGATGTGATTTTTCTTTTTGTTTATATGCTCTGCACTAGTGGCTTAGTAATAAATATGTGAAAACTTTTGTCTGGAAAAAAATGTTGACTTCACTTTAAAGACAGACCCTTCTCCTCCTTCAGTCTCCCACCCACCTCCATCATTTCTGACATTTGAAAATGACTAACTCTCCACCTCTATCCCTACCCTCCATGCACACATACACAAAGGTGCCCTTACCTCAGTGAGGCCAAAGAAACGTAGAGGTGCAGGCAGGGGTTCAGAGCCCAAGGAGGTGCTTTCCCGTAGGTGTTGGTGCTGGCTCTGTAAGAGGCCTCAAGAGTTGAGACCAGGAAGACAGGTTCCCCTGAGCTCCCTGGCCTCCAGGCATTTGCTCCTAGCTTTCCCTTGGCCTCTGCCCCAAGGAATTTGTGTCAAGAAGGGGAACCTAAAGGGAAGAAGTTGGTGGGGTGGAGGCCTTGGGGCTGCCAGAGCAGGTGCAGGCAGGATCCTGATCCAGAACTTCCAGCCAGGGCCGACTTTCTGCTAACCCAGATGCCCATTACTTCCTGTAGGTTCCGGGGCCTCATCCTGCTGCTGACCTTCCTCATTTACACCTGTTATCACATGTCCAGGAAGCCCATCAGTGTTGTCAAGGTGAGGCTGGGCTGGTGGCAGGAAGAATACGGAAATGCACGCTTTAATAGAACTGTCTGGACTTCTGTTCAGCCATTCTTATCCCTTACCATGGTCCCTGAGACCATTTCTTCACCGTGACAGGCTCCCATCTTTTTTTTTTTTTTGAGTTGGAGTCTCTGTCGCCCAGATTGGAGTGCAGTGGCCGCTCCCAGCCACCGCAGCCTCACCTGCCGGGCTCCGGCGATCCTTCCGCCTCAGCCTTCCAAGTAGCTGGAACTACAGGCTCCCATATTTAGCAGCTCTTTTTCCCAGGAATGTAATCCTGGGTGCTCCTTTTGAGCTTCTTCACCAGAACAACTGTGCCAGTGGGTGTGGGTGGAATAAGAGAGTAGACACCCTGGGCTATGTAGACTCTGCTCGTGGGTCTAATGTGGCCACTTTTCCCAGTAGTCAGTTCCTGCAAGAGGTGGTGCCAGCAGAGAGATCATGGGATCTGGAGGCGGGGTGGTGGTGCTGGTATAGTTAGGGCAGAAGACTGATTGCTCCCTTCTGGGTCAAGTGGGCTCTGGGACGAAGAGATGACTTCTGACCTGTGTGTCCCATTGCCTCTCCAGAGCCGTCTACACCAGAATTGCTCAGAGCTGATCAACCCCATCAATGACACCCACAGTCTCAATGACACCACGTGGTGCAGCTGGGCTCCATTTGGTAAGAACAGAGTAAGGTGCTCTCCCTCCACTCCCTTTCCTTCTTCCTCAAAAAAGTTGTTCAGAGCTGGGAGAGCTGGCAGGGGCAGCCATGCAGCCAGCTTTCTGTCTCTCTCATCTGCTTTCAGATGAGGAAAACTACAAGGAGTTACTGGGTGCTGTGGACAACGCCTTTCTTGTGGCCTATGCCATCGGCATGTTCATCAGGTAATGAGAGAGACCAAGCCTGTGACCATCCAGAACAGGATGCTTCAGATCTGCTGCTCCTCTTGATGAACCCGGGGGCAGCTCCCACCAGAGAGTGGGAATGAGACCAAGACCTCTGCACATGCAATCAGCTCACTGCCATGCTCCTTTTCTTGCCTCGGTCGCCGGAACTGCTCCTTCCTGGTAGACTCCCACTGTTAGACTCCCACTATTAACTTTTTCCTGGATGCTCCTTTTGAGTTTATTCACCCAGGCAGCAGTGCTGGTGGCTGCGGACTGGGACCCTAAGGTGCAGAAATAGCTAGAAAAATCCCCATCCTGTACTGCGTCTCAACTAGCACAGCAAGCATGGATTTTCCATGGCAAGTATGATGTCCCTGGCCAGGAATCCAAGATGAGTAAGGCAGGGTACTGCCTCCAAAGAGCTCACAGGCTAGTGGGGGCAACTGATACATCAGCAGCCAATGACAAAACAGTATGGTGACTCTTAGCAGAGGTGGCCATCGAGTGCTCTGGGAACTCAGAGGTAGCCACTCAGTCCAAGCTGGAACTAGAACAGAGGCATTAGGAAAAGCTTCTTGGATAAGGTGGTACTTGCACTGCTTCGAGAAAACTTGGGCTTCGTGGTGGAGAGGGGCCAGGCAGAAGGAATAGCATGAGAAAAGGCAAATGTGAAGCAGCGTGATCTCTGGGAGGTTTATGTAAAATCCAAGGCAATTAGTAGCAAGACTGAAGGATGAGGTCATTTGCAGGGGGCCTGGGAGCCACGCCACAGGCAGATGAGAGCCATTAGAGGGTTTTCCCCAATGTGTCCCATTCAGATGGACATTTCTGATTACTCTGAAAGTGATGTCGAGGTAGATTTGAGAAAGGGGAAGAATGGTCACACTAAGGGACAGATCTGATAGCAACCCAAGCTGTTGCCCTTAGGGATTCTCCCCCCTTGGCACTGTTACTACAGTGGCAGTAGAGACGGAAAACAGGTGGCACACTCTTCAGAACTATTCAAGAGGTAACCTGGACGAGTGTTGGAGCCTGAATGTGAGGGGTGGGGAGAAGAGGTAGGCGCCTGAGTGCGCTCCCTGGCCTGGCTTGAGTGACCAATGGGTAGTGTTCACCCAAATGCTGGAAGCAGGATGGTAAAGGAGGCAGAGCTGGGTGCAGGAGGAAGAAGGGGATTCAGCTTTAGGCTGTTGAGTTTCAAATGCTTTGGAGGCATCTGGGTATAACCCTGAAGCTCTGGGAAATAGATTAGGACAGACGATCTGTAGTTGGGGCTAATTAGCCTATGGGTGGTCATTAAAATAGTAAAATTATGCAAGAGACTGCTCTGAGAGGAAAATGAATGACAGGCAGGGGCCAGCCAAGGGGGAAGGTAGGCAGCACTAACATCGTGGAGCACGGTCAGTAGTGCCAGAGGAAGCACACAAGTCTAGCAGTGGGGACGAAGGTCAGCCCTGGCATGTGGTGACACAGAATCCATTGATGGGCCCTTGGCCAGAGTTGCTTCATAGCATGGTGGGGGCAGAAACAAGGAGGTGGAGAGTTGAGGCAACCACAGAGGAGGGTAACCACAACTTTCTCTTCTCCAGTGGGATTTTTGGGGAGCGGCTCCCGCTCCGTTACTACCTTTCAGCTGGAATGCTGCTCAGTGGCCTTTTCACCTCACTCTTTGGCCTAGGATATTTCTGGAACATCCACATGCTCTGGTACTTTGTACTCATCCAGGTACGAGTCTCTGTCTCGCACTCGGGCCTTTGTTCCCATCTCAGAAAGGACTTTGAAGACTGCTAGTCCTCCCTGGTCACCCCTCAGTCACAGTGGATTGGGATTTGGACTCCCTCTTCCCCGTCCAGTGCTCCATGTTACACTGCATGGGGTTCTACTTCCCAATCCTGATGGCCACACATTTATTCACTCAGCAAGGCTCCTCGAGCACTATGCTGAGGTCACTTCCAATGCACAAGAGGTTTGGTCTCTGCTCAAATGATCTTGAGCTAGAGGAGAAGCCAGCTTGTGACACTGGGGTGTGTGTGGATGTATATGTGAGGGAAGGGCGAGGTTTGTAGTGTGAGGTGTGGAGGACTCCTCAACCCAGGGCAATCAGAACAGGGAGCATGCTGCATGACCCAGGCTTGTTCCACTCTCCTTCCTCTCTCCCTGTAGATCTGCAACGGGCTTGTCCAGACCACAGGCTGGCCCTCCGTGGTGACCTGCGTTGGCAACTGGTTTGGGAAGGGAAAGTGAGTGTGACAAGGAAGGAATAGCAGGAAGGGTCGGGAGGGCTGGGGGTCTCGAGGTGGTCACTCATGGTCTCCAGTGTAATTTCAGGGGGAAAATTAGAAAGCTGCCATCGTGTTGCTGACCTTCACTTGCTGACATATAAGCATTTCAGTGCTAAAGAGCAGTCCTGATTTTCTCACTGATGAGGTTTTAACCCCAGAACAGGCCACCTTAATTATACCTTTCTCTCATTATATATGAATTTCTATTTTGAATGAGAATGAAGTGAAGCCTATACAACTTTTTTTTTTTTTCTGAACTGCCTTGTATGCAAAAAAAAAGAATTGCTTTAGAGCAGGGATTCTCTCCCTTGGCACTTTTGACCTTCTGGGCTGTTAGAGTCTTGGTTATGGGGGCTGTTCTACGCATTGTAGGCTACTGAGCCACACCCTTGGTGTCTCCCTTCAGATGCCAATAGCATGTCCTGAGTTGCGACTATCAAAAATCTCCAGCTGTCCCCCCAGGGGGCAGAACCACCCCCTAGTTGAGAATGGTGCTTTAGAGTGAGACTGTGGAGCAAAAGAGAAGAGAAAGGCTGGTGTGGCGAGAATGCCCATTGGTGCTTGCTCAGGTTGCTGGGCAGGGGGAGTGGGATGCCAGGCCCTGCCGTTGCATACTTCACTTTAATGGAGGCGTCCCACTGCTCTCTGGCTTGGGGCTTCAGGGGTTTGAGAGTCTCAGTCTGTGGTGCCTCATGAAAGCTGTAGGCATCCAGCTTCTTGAGCCTGCCTGGGGTATGAACAGTATGCTTTTCTTTTTGCTTTTTCTACTCTTCTCCCCTCTCTCCTTCCTCCCCTCCCCTCCAGGCGGGGACTCATCATGGGCATCTGGAATTCCCACACATCTGTGGGCAACATCCTGGGCTCCCTGATCGCCGGTATCTGGGTGAATGGGCAGTGGGGACTGTCATTTATCGTGCCTGGCATCATTACTGCTGCTATGGGCATCATCACCTTCCTCTTCCTTATCGAACGTAAGTGGACCCCTTCTTCCCCACAGATCCCATAGGTGAACCTCTAGGTTTTCTGTTTCTGGGAGAAGGCCACTGGATCTGCTGGAAAGGTTGCTGGTCATGGAGTGGGAGGACCAGCCATGTGGCTTTGGACAAACAACGTCTCATAGCCTCAGTTTTCTCTTTGTAAATTAAGAACATCTACTTCATAGGATTTCTGCAGGTTTAAATGAGACACCCTAGTTACCTGGCCCCTAGTAGATGCTCAGCTAGCATTGGTTGACTCTGAGAGGGGAAGAGGCAGTTAAAGGGATATTCTTAGAGTAACCAGTCTCTTATATTTGGTGCAGACAGCCTTGTGAGTTAGCCAGGCCAGGTATTACAGCCACTCTGTAGCTAGGAGTACTAAAGTTGTTAGGAGAGCCAGGACTAGAAACCTTCTCCTGAGCGCCAGTTCCAGCTCCCTTTTGCTGGGACACACACTGGCCACCTTAGGGTCTGGCTTTTGGGACAGCTTAGACCCAGTGCAAGGTGAGGACCTGGCCTGTTGGGAAGCTTCTTAGAAGGTTTTGGTTGGCTTTTTTTTTCAGACCCAGAAGATGTGGACTGCACCCCTCCTCAGCACCATGTGAGTAGGAGCCCTCCCGGTCCCATCCCCTCCCACTCTATCCAGAGGGCTGAACCCAGAGAGAGGTGGGAAACTGGAGGAGGGAGCTCTGGTCCCACAGTGACTTCACATAACCAATGTGAGGCCCTTGGGTCCCCCCCACCCAACCTGATGGGCCTGACAGGTTAGTCCAGCTCAGGAGAGAGACATGTGTCTCCTCCAGCCTGGGAGTCCTGTGTGTCTCCAGCTAATAGGGGGTTGTGCATGGGCACGCCCACAACAAGGTCCCCTCTCCTCTGCTCAGGGCAGGCCGGTTGAGGACCAGGACAACGCGGAGGGCCCTGGGAATGGTCCCTATTCTAGCAGGGAGAGTGGCCTTGAGACTGCAGCCAGGTGCTCTAAGGAGCCATGCGAAGAGCCTGCTGCCATCAGCTTCTTTGGGGCCCTCCGGATCCCGGTGAGAAGTCTGGAATGGAGGGAGGAAGGGGGCTGCAGATTTTTCTGTTGGATATCAAGAGATGCTCAGGGTGATCTGTAGTTTCCAGAATTTCTTTATAGGAGCTGTGTAAGTTGGATGGCCTGCTTGGGGAAGGTGGTTGGGAGAATTGTCTCGAAATGACATTGAATAGCAGCCACATTGCTTTTATTGAGACTGGATGTGTATTTGAGGTTGCTTTGAGTGGCGAATGATAGAAAGTACTGGAGCAGGGCTAAGCCCTCTCATCACAGCTGCCACTGGACCCAGGATCTCTGGTCCCCTTTTCACATGCTCTGTTATGCTCCCCAGGGTGTTGTCGAGTTCTCTCTGTGTCTGCTCTTTGCTAAGCTGGTCAGTTACACCTTCCTCTACTGGCTGCCCCTCTACATCTCCAATGTGGGTAAGTATGACGGGCAGAGGGGTGGCAGGAAGGGGTCTCTGAGGAGGCCAAAGCCACCTCTGATGGGAGAAGGAGCCTGTCATGGTGATGCATGTGACTCCAGTGTATAGACAGGATTTCTGCTGAACCTCTCCCAGGCTGAAAAGAGATTTATTTGCTTAAATGGAAGCCAAACCCTGTCCATTACCCCCTAGATTCTGACTCCAGTCACCTTCTCTCCCTTGGAACTGAGGTGGGGATTAGGAACTCAAAGCTCTGTCCTGCAATTCTTCCTATCTTCTTCTCCAGCCTGCCCACCTCCCCAGCCTGCGTGACTCACAGGTGGTAGGGCTGGGAGGTACTAGGTCTGTCCTTTGAACACCTCCCCAGCCCAAAGAAGAGGGCCTGGTGAGCTACCCCCACTCCTCACAGGCTGGTCGTGAACAGAGTGTACTTCTCCCAAAGAGAACCTCACGGGATTGATGCCTTTGTGCCTGGGTCTGCTGGGCTGCTCTGGGGGTTCCGCGCCATCTTGTGGGCCTGCTCTCCCCAGCCTCTCTCTCTACTCCTTCTCAAGGATGGACCGATGAGGCGAGAAGGATGTTCATACCCACTTGACCTAGGTCTCTGCTTTTCCACAGGTGGGGCTACTCAACCGAGGATCAGCCCACCCCACTCCCCCCCGCCCCCAGGAGCCTCAAAGCTCCACCAGGCCCGAGGACCTCTCTCCCTCCCTCCCAGCCCTGGGGAGGAACGCCACCGCCTTACCACACACTGTGCTTGCTCTAAACAGGATACTGTAGGAGTTAGTCATGGCCAGATCTCAAGCTGGAACTTGCCCCACAGCTCTATCTGGGGGCCTCTCTCTATGATAGTGGTGGAGTGTAGGGAGGTTTCGTGGACACTGTGACTCTTTGTTTTGTGACCTTGGTGCTGACTTCAGAGTATGAAGCAGCCTGGAGCGTGGGGCTACAATTCCAGCTTCTGAATATTCCTTTTTTTAAACCTGGATCCAAAGCCTATGACCCAGGGTCCCCATTTTCCTGCAAGTCTCCCTCCCAGCCACAGGGCTGCCAAGAATACAGAGATTCTCCACGTGAAGGAGGTTGCTAGGCATGAGGAGATAGAAGATTCGAGGGCCTGAGTTCTGGAAGCTGCAAGCAGAAGGGGTGGGGATCAAAGTGCTGTCTCCATATTGATGAAGGAAGGATCTGCTCAGACCTGTGTATGAGCACAGACTGAAGGTAGATGTGACAAGCTCCTACTGGGGCCTGCACCTAGGGCCAGAGTGGAACAGGGAAAGGGTTGGGCTGAGGCTGTGCTCTCCAGGGAAAAGGTGGTCATGGGACATAGTACTCAGGGACCACATCCCAGGGCTTCAGGGGAGGGGCTGTTCTGAGAAGTCAAGGTCATCCTGCAGGGAGGATGACCAGAACTAGGGGCCAGAAGGACATCTGCCCCAAACTGCTGCACACTTACCCTGTGATCCTGGCCAGTCCCTGCTCCATGGGTCCTCTATTCCTTCCTCTATTCCTTTACTCCAGGATGTTTGCCCTGAGCCCCCGTATCTGACCACATGTCTGTGTTTTCCACAGCTCACTTTAGTGCTAAGGAGGCTGGGGACCTATCTACGCTCTTCGATGTTGGTGGCATCATAGGTGAGGACTTGCCCTGCTCTGCCAGCAGGCTGCCTTCCCCTCTTCTCTTGTGGAGAAGCAGAAAGAAAGGACAGGTCTGTTGGACTATGACCTGGGCAAGTGGCACCAGAGGAAAAATGGCTCCTGATTTTATTCTCAATTCTGTTCCTGCCTGGCTGGGTGGGCCTAAGAAAACTTGGTCTTCCTGTGGCAACAGGCCCAGGGGCGGGCTGCGGAGGAAGGAGCTCTACTGGTTCTTGATGCCTGGGCAGGGTGATGAGGCAGAGCTGGGTGCCAGGTGAGGGGATGGTGTGGTCCTGTCTGAGAGGCAGTGTGTGAGTGGGTGTGTGTTCCAGGTGGCATCATGGCTGGGCTCATCTCTGACTACACCAGTGGCAGGGCCACCACTTGCTGCATCATGCTGATCTTGGCTGCTCCCATGGTGCGTATGACCCCAAGGGCAAAGTGCGTGTGCATGTGAGCAGGTGCCTGTGCAGGTCTCTGACCTGTGTGCACATCAGTGCATTTACACACATGACTGTCTCTTTGTACGTGTGTGTGTGCATCCCTGTGCACACATGGGGGGAGGAGAAGCGAGGCGCAGAGGAGCAGGCCCCTTGGAAAGAGATCCAGATTGAGGATTTTGGAAAGGGATTTGTGACTATTTGACCTTGGTGGAGAGGAAGGAGACTAGCTGCTAAACTTCTTGACCAAGGAAAAGAGAAGAGATGGAGGTTAGATATGAGAGAAGACTTTCTGGGGAAAGGGAAACAATAGATCACCACATTTTAGACCGTCCATTCCATCTAAAGACCAGAGAAGTCTGTGTGTTAGGGAAAAGGAATAAGGTGACCTCTAGGGTTCCAGGGCAGGAGCGGGTTGTTCCAGACGTTGGGGCTCCAGTCTAGTGAGGGGAGTCTGGGTATGACTCTGCCTCTCCCCTTCTCCTCTCACAGATGTTCCTTTACAACTACATCGGCCAGAATGGGATTGCCAGCTCCATAGGTGAGGAAGGGGTGGCTGCAGGTCCTGCCAGGCCATGGGAAAGGCACTGCCTTGGGGGCTCCATGAGGCTGACCTTCACGGGGACATCTGTGGAGGGTCTGAGAGGGCCTGAGGCCTGGGGATCCTCCTCTCTAACTGGACTGTCTCTGCTGCCATCCCAGTGATGCTGATGATCTGTGGGGCCCTGGTCAATGGCCCTTATGCACTCATCACCACTGCAGTCTCTGCTGATCTGGTAAGTGTGGCCACCTCCTAGGGTGTCAGGGACCGTTCTGGGGGCTTGGACAGGGCCATCATCTCCAGGTTCATTTCTCTCTCCTGTCTTGCACAGGTGAGACCCTCAAAGTCTTTTAGAACCCACCATGGGCCCCTCTTTCCTCTCCACCCCAAGCCCCAGTCCCTGTCTTCCTCAAGACAGCCCTCCCCCCGTCCTGGTTCTGCTTGGTTCCCACTCTGCTGTCTCTCCCCAGGGTACTCACAAGAGCCTGAAGGGCAATGCCAAGGCCCTGTCCACTGTCACAGCCATCATCGACGGCACCGGTTCCATAGGTCTGTGACCCTGACTTTTGGCCCCAGCAACTGAACCCTAAGCCTTGTTGTGGGCAGACCCCTTTGTAGCCTGCCCTCAGGTGGGCAAGGAGATTCCCTCCTCAGGAGGCTGTGCTCTGTCCAGGTGCGGCTCTGGGGCCTTTGCTGGCTGGGCTCATTTCTCCCACGGGCTGGAACAATGTCTTCTACATGCTCATCTCCGCTGATGTCCTGGCCTGCTTGGTAAGAGTCCTTGAGGTACACAGATGGGTATTGGAGGCTGCTCTCTCTCGCCAGGCTGGAACTCTAGAGGTCCAAAGCATTGACCACTGGGGATTCTGGGACAATGAGAACAGCTGCCCTTGGCGCAGAACTACTTTCCCTCCCATAGGTGGCCTCCTGCCAAACGAAAGCACCTACCCCTTTCTCTACTGCCAGTCCCCTGGCCACCTGATACTGGGAGCTAAGTACTCAATGTTAAGGTGCTCTCCCTTCCCTCTTTGCCTTGGGGTCCCCACAGTTCCTCTGCCGGTTGGTGTACAAAGAGATCCTGTCCTGGAAGTCATCCCTGAGTAGAGACAGAGGGTGAGTGCTCCAGCAGCTAAAGCTGCCCCTCTGACAGCCTCGCTTCTCAAGGGAATCAGCCCAGTGCTCAGTTTCTCCAACCCAGTCTGAGACTAATCCAGCCCAGACCTGGGGAGCTCTGAGCCCCATCCCACTAACCTGTCCTCTGTTGTCCCCATGTGTCTCCATAGCTCTAGTCTGGTCCTAACCCACCCGCGATAATATTTTCCTCAAGTCCCATGACTTTTGTGAGTATTTGCTTCAAATCTATGACTAATGTGCCATTGGAACAGGGGCTGCATGCAAATCTCTCCTGCACTGTGACATTTTTCAGCTGTCTCTTTTTTTCTTGGGGTTCAGTTCTAAAGACTCAATCTGAGCGGAGCATGGTGCTTAAAAAGTGTTTTCCAAGGGGTCTGAGGTGCCATAGAGGTTGGCAGCCTCTTCCCTGAGGGACAGTGTTAGGGCTTTGGACATGCCCTCCTGGGGCAGAGGAGGCAGAGATAGGGAAACCGTCTTCTCTCTGAACTCAGACTGAGCTGCAAATACTTCCTGCAGTTCAGAAACCAGTCATCTGGCCCCTCTGCCTGGGGTAGGCAGACAAAAGCAACTATAATCACACCATCTGAAACAAAGTTTGAAGCAAGCATGGGTGACTAGCCTGGTGTGCTCCCTGCCTGTTGTCTCGGTGGTGGTGATGGTGAAGGTGGCACAATGGGTTAGTGGCAGAGGCTGCACACTGGTGCTGGTGTTGGTGGTCGGGCAACCTCTCCCTCTGGCTGTTCTGAGCAGAAGCCTTCTGCTCACAAAGAGCTGCAAACCTGGGCTGGATGGTAAATGTGAGGAAGAAGCCCCCAGAGTCACGGTAACCAGCACATTACCTTGGAAACACTTCCCTTTAAGGAAGCCATCATCTGGAAAGAGCAACTGAGAGCAGGAAGACAATGAAAGCAGGAAGCATTCGAAGTGTCACTCAGTTCCTGCCACTGGTGCTCCTCAGGGCCAGGCGTGAGGGAAGGTTGGAAGGGGAAGAAAAGAAGCAGAAGGGGAAAAGGAGTAGTGAGCAACTGCTCTGTGCCTGGAATTTTGTCCAGCCTGAGATAGATTAGCTTACCTCTCAGCAACCTCTCAATTAGAGGTGAGAGAACACAGGTCCAGAACTCAGAGAATATGCCAGAACTCAGAGAATAAGGCCTTCAGTTTGTCCCAGCACAGACTAACCTTGAACCCAGATCTGTGGGGGTCATTTACTTTTCTCCATACTGCTGTCATCCCCAGCCAGTCCTTCTCCATGGAAAGGTCTATGCGTGGGATGTGCAGTTAGAGCAGACAGAGAGCTGAACTTGGAATCCGAAATCCCTGGAGAGTCCTGCCTTCTCCGTTCACTCTGTGAGACCTTGGGCATGTCACTCAGATGCTCTGAAGCTCCACATCTTTATGTCCGAATAGGGATGCTCATTCCTAAATACCTGGCAGGGTTGATGTGAGGCTGAGATGAGATGGGGTATGTGATGTTGCTTTGTAAAGCTATCAAATGTGACATAAACATTGTAAGATTTTTAATATTATTCCAGCTTGCTACTTCCTGTCCAAGAGGTGAAAGAGAACCCTAATTATAGAGAGCAGAGATGAATAGCAAGGATAGGAACTTATTAAGTTGGGTCTCACTTTCTCTTCTGTCCCCTCTGTCCCCTTCATGCAGGTATAGAAAAATATGAAGCCCCGACTGGAAGAGAAGTGTGGAGGGTTCCAACTGGTCCCCAGCATGCTCTCCCTGGGCAAGACAATGGACATTTTCACAGATGAAGAGGCAAACCCTCTTAATCTAATACCAGCCAGCCCAGCCCAGCCACGGGGCTGCTAAGAGTACAGAGATTCTACATGGAAAGGGAACTACCAGGCATAAGGATATGGAAGACTCAAGGGCCTGAGTTCTGGAAGCTGCAAGTAGAGTGTTTGGGGTCAGAGCTGAGTGCCATCTCCATGTTGATAAGGGAAGGATCTCCTCAGACTCTTGCTTGTTCAGATTCCAAGACAGAAGTTTCTATAAGGCTAAGGCCCAGAACATGTGTGTCTCCTCTTCCCATGTTAAATTTTAATCTCTGTAATCAGCCAGAACCTATAGGAGGACATCTCACCCCATGTCAGAGGTGCCCAGCCTCTCTCGATCCCTTTATCCATGAACCAGTCTTCTCTGTGTGCGTGCCCAAGTTGGACCCTCTTCTACCCTTCATTTGATCCTATTGATAACTCCATTACCCACTTTGATAAAGTATCCTTGCTGTTACTCCAGGGCCAGGACTAGGGTGAGGCAAGGAGCTGCCTCACATATAGAATTTAAGGGGGCACTCACTCTTGGGCACGTGCCAATCCTGAGAGTTGAGTGCCTTCCTTGTCTCGCTCTGGTCCCAGCCCCCTGATGTCCTCAGTAGAAAGTGACATCAGGGCTAGTGCTGTGGTGGGGGAGGCGGGGTTAGAAAGAGAAACTGGGCAATACAGCATGTGTATTGAGCATTCTGAAAATGAATTGCTGGTGGTTACTGAGTGCCCACCATATGCCAGCTCTATGCTAAGAATGGTGTAGACAGTGGACACACAAAGGGCTATGCCCTGGGCATAGGCGCTAAGGTGACAAGACTAGCAAGAAATGAGGGCCTCACCTGGTTCATGCAAGCAGCTACTACGTGTGCAGTTGCGTGGTGCCATCTGCAGCCCCCTTCTTTGCTTGACATTCCTGATGCACCGACGTCCTTCCCCCAAGTCCTGGATCACTACCTGGATCACTACCTGGCTGGCTGGCTCTAGGCATCTCCATCTGACCCCAAAGCTGCCCATCAGCACCAATACACATTTCCTTTTACCAGCTGTGCTTGTGCTCATCCTTGTCAGGGCTTGCCTCAGCAGTAAGGGGGGCTCCCATGGATTGTTGAAGCAGTATCCCAGGACCACAAGGTCGATAATGCGGGGGCTGGTGACAGTTGGCAGTCCTGGGGAGGATGCTCATGACATTGATGATGTGTGGAGCAAACCGGCGCTTAGAGCCTCACACAAGACACAATGGTTGCATTTCCTGGGACACCGTGGACCGGTGCATTAACTGGAGACACGCATGTCAACTCTGCAGCAGGTTTACATGTGCCGATGGTAACAGACAGAGAAGACTCCCACAGCCTGGGAGCCACTTCAGCTCTGAAGGCAGGACCCAGCCTGCTCAGTCCTCAGAGCCCACAGGGGCAGGAGTTATACTATTATGCTCAGCATTCATGAACGCTCCTCTCAAGATCAGAAAGATTTGTCTGATATCATCATCACTTAGGAGGAACCAGCTTAAGGAGAAACTGTGTTGCTTAAATGAGCCACTAGATGGTGACACAATCCCATGATAGAGCCCAGGGTGGGTCTGGAAGGGAGGCAGGAACAGGGGTTTCTTGTGAAAAGATTTCCCGCTCTCTCTGCTGCAGAGGTCATGGCAGGAGACTTTTTTCCCCAGGGACACTACATACTAGCTTTAAGCCCATCTCCTCATCAAGAGAATAGTGATAACATTACCTACCTCGTGGGATTGATATGAGGGGAGACGAATACGTGTTAAACATACTCCCTGCCCTTGAGGGACTCATCTAATATGGGATAAGATAGGAGTATGAAAATACACAGAAACAGTGACTAGAGCTAAGAGCTCCACTGTTCATTAGCCCAGCCATGAAGGGACAGGGCTGGCAGGAGGGCGATTCCCACGGCAACGGGAAGAATCATTCTTCCTTATAAAGGCAGAATTCATAGGACTCGGGTGCTTTCTTTGATAAGGCAGAGAGGGGAAGGGGAAGAGGGAGGAAGTTAACACGAACACTTATCAACCCTTACTGTGTTCATCAGGGACTGAAAAATGAAGAAGAGGCATCGGCTTCTACTGGCAGGGAAGTATGGCCCTAGACCCAGGCAGAAGGCATTGTGGGAATTCAGAACCTGGCCTCAGAGATGAGGCCTGGGCTGTAGATGGGGGTTTGGGAAACATACCAAAGGCTGAGGGAAGTCTCTGAGATCTGTCCTTCTGCACCCACCTCCCAAGCCCCAGGTCCCGCCCCACCTGGGCAGCTCTGGGCACTGCCTGTTCACCAGAGGCCCTGTACCTGCCTTCTCTCTGGGCCTCTGCACTCACCCGGGGCTAATGCAGGAGCATTACGTTAATTAGTTATTCATTTAATTTAACTTCACATTTGGTCTCAATTAAGCTTAAAATGTTCTTCCTTATAGATGCTACAATAGCACTTGTAATTAAAAAGCAATAACTCTTTGCGTTTCTCCTTTAGAGATCCATTGGGAGGCTGGGCTAGAAGGGGGTGGGGGGTGGGGCTGGCTAGGGGAGTAGGAGGAGGCAAGAAGCAATGAAAAGAAAGAGAAAGAAGTTCTTGATAGATCTCAGCACTGCGAGGATAACCACTAAGACCGAGGTTGGGGGAAGGAGCTCTTTTTCTTTTTTTTTCTTTTTTTTTTTTTTTTTGAGTTGGAGTCTTACTCTGTTGCCCAGGCTGCAGTGCAGTGGCATGTTCACATTCACTGCAGCTTCGACCTGCTGGAATCAGGTGATCCTTCCGCCTCAGCCTTCCAAGTAGCTGGAACTACAGGTGCATGCCACCGTGCCTGGCTAATTGTTTGATTTCTATTTTAGAGATGAGGTCTCACCACTTCATGGGTGTTGGGGTGGGGGTGGGAAGAGTTGCTGCTGGGAACCCTGAGGAGCAATATACAGGAGTAAACCCTCCCTGTACATAAAGGAGTGGGAGTAAGGGGGGGGTGGGGAGGAGAAGGAGGCAGTCCTTAGAGGTAGAAATGGGTCCATATATTCTGTAGTAGGCAAAATGTGCCCCCCATAAGATGTTTACATCCAAATTCCCAGAACCAGTGAATATGTTACTGTGTACAGCAAATGAGATTTTGCTGATGTGATTAAGCATCTAGAGATGGGAAAATTCATCAGGGTGGGCTCAGTGTATCACAAGGCTCCTACCAATCACAGAGGGAGGCGAGAGTGTCAGAGATTGAAAGATGCTGCTTCACTGGCTTTGAAGACAGAGAAAGGGGCCATGGACCAGGTGAACGGATTTCAGCACCAGTGATGACTCCACACCCAGCTAAGACCAAGAGATTTATTAAAGGGGCAGTTATAGGAAGGGACTGCAACCGAGGAAAAGTGAGAGAGAGAGAGGGAGAGAGAGAGAGAG